CCGCTCCGTGCACGTGTCTGCGCTCTGGCGCCGATTTGACCACGCCCCTCCGCGGCGGGCGGGGCGCGGATCCCAGAGGTCTGAAGTCGCAGGAGAGTTTGTCCAACGTGCTGGGTTCTGGATCTGGGGAACCTCAGGCTGAAGTGTGGGACCCAAGTGTACCTTGACAAAGCCCACCGCCAGAATGCGACGCAGAGGATAAACCAGTCTTATCTTTCTTAGCCCCACTTTGCAGCTTAGGAAGTTGAGGATCAGAACGGCTTACTAACTTGTTCGAGGTTGCCCAGAGAGTTAGACTCAGTTGGGACTGATTCAAACTTGGACAATCCTGGGTTAGAATTCCAGTTCTGCGCCTAATTGGCTGTGTGATCCTAGTTGAACCACATCGTCTTTCTAAACCTCGATCTTCTCTTTTGTACTCATTCAAGGGCAATTCTTTCATCCTTTGACCAAATATGTGTTGAGGTTTTGTCAAGGTGCTCCAACGGAAAGGAAAACAGACATAATTTCTGACATAATTAAGCTTGTTAATGAGGTAGAAAGGCAATAAATAAACAGACTTTCCTTCCTCAAAAAATGGGAAGCTTAAAGAAGCGAATACTTCTCCCTGATTTTAAAAAATGTATGTTTAATGTCTCGATCTCTATTTTTATTTTTTTATTTTTTTAACATTTTTTATTGATTTATAATCATTTTACAATGTTGTGTCAAATTCCAGTGTTCAGCACAAGTTTTCAGTCATTCATGGATCGATCTCTATTTTTAAAAGAGAAAATTGTCACAATTTATGTGGCAATGCCGGGCAATGAAGAGCTACTAAGTAAACGTTTAGTAGTGTAATTTATTAACATTGGTTTGCAGAATATGATCCTATAAAACCAGAAAACTCACATGTGTATTTAACTACTAGGCACCAGGCATTACGTAAAGGGGAGGAATGTCTTTGGAAAACGACTTTTTCTCATGAATGGTGCAGTCGATTCTTCTTCGAGGAGTTGGGCTTTTCTCTGCGTGTGAGGCTTAGTTGCTGGGGAGACTGAACCAAGCGCCAGGTCAGACTAGTAAGTAATACATTTATTGCAAGAATCATTACGACCTTCTCAAGATGGCGCCAAACCCTTAACGACAATCATCATGCTCACTCCATGACTTCCTCTATGGCTTCCACTTCCGGCCTAAGGACCCAACTTCTGTCCAAAGTTGTGCTGGAATACATGCCCTGTTAGTGAGCTTTTTTCTTCGACGAGAACTATTAAAAGTATATGAAGTAACATGAATTTCGTGTACTGCGAGATTTCCCCGCCATCCGAGGCTCGTAGTTTTTCCTTAGATGGCAAGACAGCGGGGTTTTTGATCAGGCGCGTGCCGCGGGCAGCTCCTATTTCAGCGGGTCTTCGGCGGCCGACTGAGGACCCAAGAGTCGCTGGAAGCTTAAGATGGCGACGGCGGCCGCAGCATCGGCTTCAGAAGCGGAGGCTGAGTCCAAGGCCGGGCCCCAGGCCGAGGGAGAGGAAGATGAGGCTAAGGCGGCTAGGACCAGGAGGAAAGTATTATCGCGGGCTGTGGCCGCTGCAACGTACAAGACCATGGGGCCAGGGTGGGACCAGCAGGAGGAAGGCGTGAGTGAAAGCGATGGAGATGAGGAGTACGCCATGGCTTCCTCGGCGGAGAGCTCCCCCGGGGAGTACGAATGGGAGTACGACGAAGAGGAGGAGAAGAACCAGCTGGAGATAGAGCGGCTGGAGGAGCAGGTGGGTCCCGGGCGGGCAGCGGGGTCCTTCCCTCAGGTTCCCAGGCCCCGGCCCGCCTCCCCGGTCCTCGGCGGTAATAAAGCCGCCGAGGCCCGGTGCTTTTGTAACCATTATACTATTGATAACGGTCCCTTGAATCCTCGCAAGGACCCAGTAAAGGAAAGAGTGTATTTCCCGCTTTAGGGGAGGAAACGGGCTCCCAGTGGAGGAAATACTCTTGCTCACGATTTACACTTCCTGCGAGTAGCGAGTCAGGCCTGGAACTTTGAACCGACTCCAGGCCTCCCGCTCTTAGCCACGCCATTAAACTGTGCCCAGCACTAGAAATTAAGTTCTATTGGTAAGAGTTACTTGCCTGTAGGAATGACGGCGATGATGAGAAATGGAGTGGTAGGGAAAATATAGACCATGACGATGATAATAGAAAGACAGAGGTCAAGATTTCAGCGTCTGGAGGCTAAGGCCCCAATTCTAGCTTTTCCACACCTGCTTGTGCTTCGGCGAATTTCTTAACTTCTCTGAGCCTCGGCTTCCTCACCTGTAGATTGAGGGAAACAGTTCCCGCACGTGGAATTGTCATAGCGGTGATTAGAGCCTAGTGCCTGGCACTACTATTGTGATTTCTAATCTGTAACCTTATGAGATACAGGTGGTGGTATCTCCCGTGTCATCAAGGATCCCAGCAGGAAATTTAGACACGTTTAAACTAGGCTAGTTTGAGGAAAGGTAAGTAAAGGGACTACTGCGTCCAGGGCAGGGCTAGCAGGAGTGAAGGTTCAGTATTCCAGGGCCAGTAACAGCAGGGTCTTGTGTCCACCTTTAGGCTTGAAGAGGTGAGAGGAGTGACCCGTTTTCCGAACAGTTTTGTGGAGAGGGCATCTGAAAGGAGTGGAGAGCTTGGGTCAAGGGTGCAGCCCCAGGTTCCCATCAGGGATTGGGGTTGGGGAAGAAATACCCTGACCTACCTCTCTTCCTCCCTCCTAGCATCCTCTGGTGCCTTCTGCTGGGCAAACTACTGCAGGCAAGAGAACCAGAGACCCCATCCATGTGGTCCACACAGTGGGGCACAGGACAGTGGGGAGAGAGGGTGGAGTGGATTTAGAGGGGCAAACAGAGAACTTGAACATATTCTCATTTTACAGATGAGGAAACCGAGGCTCAGAATGAATGATGAAATGATTTGCTCAGAGTCACTCATAAGGAGATAGGAACTTGTCCAGGTTTTGTCTGCGGACCAAACGCCACACTGGATGTGAAGTCACTTAGTGATGTGAAGTTGTTAGCTGGGGGTTCTCACTTAACTTGCTGGGTGTGAGGTTCCTTGTAATGTCCTCTGCAGCAGAGATATTTTTACGTTGTGCAACAGTGATATCATCGATTGGTGTAACTGTCCCACTTGTCATGCCATCTGAGTGTCAGGGAAACCAGTTGGGGGTACAGAGGTGGTTAGATTTCTGCTTTTTATGAATAAGCATGCTGAAGTTCAGTCAGCAAATGCAGTGTAATTTGAGGTGCCAGGCTGACAGTGTCCCTGTCCTGAGAGAAATCTGTTCTTCAGACTTCTGGCCTTGGGCTTTTCAACGGACCATGAGCTTACTCTGTAGAGGAAATAGGATTACCTGTTTTCGTGGTAGGGGAGGCTTGGAAGCAGAGAGGTCAAGTCCTTGATGAGGGTACCCAGCTTGCTAGTGAGGAGGTTGGGTCAGGGCAGAGGTCGGCTGGCTGTTCCCTGCCTCAAGCCATCGAAGGTGGGACCACACAGGATGGGGTGTGGCGAGTGGTGGTGAATTGAAGAGCGCCTGGCTTTATCCACTTTGTCCTAGGGTCCAGAAATGGACTTTTCCAATTTTTCCAAAACTTCCTCCCACCTCATCCGAATCCCACAGCCTCTGGTCCCTGCTGTAACTTGTCTTACGGTGGAGCATGAGGATGGATAGCTTCCAGGTAGGCCTGTGCAAAGCTCGGCCTCATGGTGTTTTTGAGTTCCAGTTCTCACCCCTGAGTGTATTTTACGAAAGCTCGCAATTAGTTGTGGTATCTGCCCGTGTACCAAAAGCAGAGATTTCCCACTATTTTGTGTGTGTGGCCTGAAACCAAAAGTGCCTTCCAAGTTATGTCTACGCTCTGAGCCTGGTGTCCCAGGTGGTAAAAGGAGAGTTGTGACAGTGCCTCCCTCCCAGGGCTGTTGTGGAGCTTAAGTGACACGATGTGTGTAAAGCTCTGGGCACAGTCCAGCGCATAGTAGGTCCTCTGTCAGGACCTGCACCCTCCTCCCTCCCCCTCTTTCCTGTGATTGCAGCCCTGTGTCCTTTCCCCCAGGCCTCCCTGCTGCTTCTCCACCCCCAGGCCAGGACCACGTTGTGCTGTTACGGAGTTAGGAAATCAGTTCCCAGATCACTTTGCACACTGGCTGAGCTGCCTCTTTCTTGAAAACATTCTTTGTCGTTAACAATGCTCTGAGACCAGAATAGACCGGCGCGTGTTCTCATCTGTCAGCCCTGATCGACCTCTCTGGGAAGGTCCCTTAAGCACATCTCAGTGTGCATTCAGTGTCCATACTCTTGGGGCATCTCTCCATCTGTAGTATCTTCATTATTTGGGCCTAAAAATCAGAAATTTAGACCAAAAAGCATCTTAGAGACAGTTCCTGTACTCTGGTGACCTTCATACACATGGTGTTCACATGAAGGGCACTTGCACAGACATCACTCATGCTGGCTTGGAGGGACTCCCCACCCTCTTTGTGCTCAGAAAACACATTCGGACCCAGGTGAGTTGTGAGTGGTGGGGAGACGGGGGACCGAGCCTTCTCCTTCATGAGAAGAGGACACCTTACCATCTTCACTTACCTCACTGTTGTTACTTGTGTGATGCACTTGATAGTTGATTTTGAGACATCAGTGCGTCACAGCAGGCTGCTTGGGGTCCAGAGGAGAACTCCAGCGCCGGGTACAGACGGGGAAACAGAACCAGTGGACGTTGGAACACGCGTGTCCCGACCTGGTCCCATCCTTTTCAGCCCATCACATAATCATGGTGGGCTCTGCCTTCATGTTTATAAATCATGAGCAGGACAACATTGCTGAAGGTCTTAAATTAAAAAAAATTTTTACAGATCGTGGGCTTATCTGTTATCTCTTTGCATGTAATTTGACACATACAGAGCAGCTCACATCTGTCCGTTGTAAAGGCTGGTGATGAAAGAAACACCCCTTACTCTTCCGGCCGGTCTGAGAGTGAGAGCTGCATCACCTCTGTCGCTGTGCCCACGGCCTCTCCCCTGTTCCATGGCCCTGCCCTGCCCCTCCCCCTGCCCCTCTCCTACAGCCCAGGTGCCTGCTCCCTTGAATCGTGTGTGCTTCCTTCTGTATAACTGTATCACCTAAGTTTGCGTCCCTCAGCACTATATTGTCCACTTTTTTCGGAGTGGGTAATTAGGTTTTTTCATCTATTATTTTTTTTAATGAAGGCACTGGGGATTGAACCCAGGACCTCGTGCATGCTTTGCAGGTGCTCTACCACTAAGCTCTACCTACTCCCCGCCTTGAGCTTCTTTTTAAATTTAAATTTTATTTTTTATTGAAGTGTAATTGAATTATACTGTTAGTTTCAGGTGTACAGCAAAGCAATTCAGTTATACATATACATACATATGTTTACATATATTTTCAGATTGTTTTCCGTTGTAGCTTGTAAGAAATTGAATGTGGTTCGCTGTGCAATGTAGTAGGTCCTTGTTGTTTACCTATTTCACATTTCTGAACCTTTTAAAAAAGCGTATCGTGCGATGTGTCATTTGCTGGTTCTGCTTACTCAGCAGTGTGTCCCCAAGATCCAGCCGTGTCGCGTGCTGAATATTTGGAACCCCAGCATGTGAGGAGTCCAGAGTCTGTCAGTTGTTCCAGGGTTTGAATTGTGTACAGTTTTTTTTCCTTATTACAAACTACAAGGAACATTGTTCCTATTAAACTGCTGCCCTTGAACCTGTATGAGAGTTCCCCTCAGTCAGTGTTTTTCAAACTGGGGTCATGAATTCGATTCAGTGGATGTAACCAGCGCCACTTCTGTATTCGGTGGATGTATGTGTGCTTGCGCTGTGTTTTCTGTGTGCGGGGGTCTGTTTCCGGGCACTCTGCATCGTTCTTGTGGTCCGTTTGTCCGTCCTGTGTCAGTTCCATGGTCCAACTCATTGCTGAGACTTGCTACCCGCAAAGACAAATCCTCCTGTGTGTGCTTCAGTGCGGCAGCTAGTGTCTAGAATACTGGGTCTGTTGTCAGGCGGCGGAGTGTTAATTGAGTGACGTACAGGCACTGTGTCATCTCTGGAGAGGGAAATACTGCTGAAATGCCATGGCAGATGTTAGAAGAGTGGATACTGGTCTGATCTTGGTGTATAGACTTAATGTAACCTCCATACCCCCATGTTTTTTTTTCTGAAAGTTTAAAAAAGTTTCATTTTGAGATAATTGTAGGTTTCCCTGTAGTTGTAAGAAATAATATAGACAGATCCTGTGTACCCTTTACCCAGTTTCCTCCAAAGGTAACCTTTTGTAAACCTGTAGTAGGTATTACAAACCACATGTTGATGTTAATATAACCAACACAGATCAGTTCTGTCATCACAAGGAGTTGTTCTCAAGTCCTTTCACAGTTCCTGACCTCTAGCAACCCCTAGTCTGTTCTCCACTTCCATGATTTTATCATTTCAAAAATGTTATGTAACTGGAATCATACAGCATGTAACCGTTTGGGATCAGCCTTCCTCATTCAGCATAATTCCCTCAAGATTCATCTGAGTCGTGTGCTTATTCAGTGTTCCTTATTAGGGCTGAGGAGTATCTGTGGTGTGGGTGTCCCACGGTTAGTCCAACCATTCAGCCATGGAAGGAAGTCTGGTTAGTTACCAGGTTTGGCTGTCAGGAGCAGCTGTCGCGCACATTCCTGTAGAGGGGTTTGTGTGAACATAGGTTTTATTTCTCTGGAAAAATGCCCAAGGGTGCACTTGCTGGGTGACACGATGGTTGTGTGTTGAATTTTACAAGAAACTGCCAAACTGTCTTCCGGAGCTGCTGTACCATTTTGCGTTCTCATCAGCAATGTAGGAGCGATCCAGGTTTTCAGTAGCATCTTCTCTGACATTTGGTGGTGTCACTGTTTTTCATTTTGGCCATTCTGTGAGGTGTGTAATGATAACTCTGGTCTTAGCTGGTATTTCCCTTGGAGCTACAGATGTCGAACGCTGTTCCTGTGCACTGAGCTTGCCGTCTGTGTCCTCTTTGAATGTACGTGTTGGTTCTTGTCTTTTGCCTGCTTTTTAATTGGTTTGTTTTTTACTGTTGAGTTGGGAGTTACATCGTTTAGATATTAGTCCTTGGTCAGATACGTAGTTTATAAACACTTTTTCCAGTCTGTAGCTTGTCTTTGCAGCCTCTTGGCAGAACCTTTTACAGAGCAAAAAGTTTTAATTTTGGTGAAGCCCTAATTTGCTGAGAGTTTTACCGTCAACGGTTGTTGGACTTTGTCAGATGCACTTTCTCTGTCAATTGACAGCATGGTTTTTGTGCTTTAGTCTGTGATGCAGTGGAATATGGTGATTGATTTTCAGAGACCGAACTAGGCTTGCAGACCTGTAGGCGTGGGGTATCGTTCTTCCTGTGCGTGAATTTCGTTCTGTAAGTTTTCCTCTCCACCCTGTGCTAGCTGCAGTCCACTTATTTTGATTTGCTATATTTTCATTTTCATTCAGCTGTATGGATTTAAAGTTGTCTTTGAGACTCTCTTTGAGCCATACATTACTTACAGATGTATTATTTAATTTCCAAGTGTTCAGAGATTTTCCTACTGTTACTGATTTCTAGGTTGATTCTGTTGTTATCAGAAAACATGCTCTGTGTGATTTAATTTCTTCTAAGTTTGTTGAGATTAGTTTTAGGGCCGAGGATATGGTCTCAGTGTTCTTTGGACACTCGAGAAAAATGTGTGTTTTGTTACTGTCGGGAGGAGTTGTCTATGTACATCAATTAGACAATGCAGGTTAATGGTGTTGAATTCTTCTGTGTCCTGGGTGATTATCTGGTAGTTCCTTTAGTTGCTGAAATAGGGGATGCCGTAATTCCCAGTATTATTGTGGATGAGGCTGTTTCTTCTTTTAGCTCCATCAGTTTTTGCTGCATCTATTTTGAGATTCTCGTGGCTGGTGCATACGCAGTTAGGGTTGTTTTGTCTTCCTGGTGGGTTGATCCTTTTATCATTATGTCCTGTCCTGTCCCACCTTATCTCTGATAATTGTCTTTGCTGTGAAGTCTGCTTTATGTGATATTGATATAGGCACTAATGCTCCTTTGGGATGAATGTTTGCGTGCTGTATCTTTCCTTATCCTTTCACTTTGAATCTGCATACACCCTTAAATTTGAGTTTCTTGTAATCGGCATACAGCTAGGTTGTGTTTTTGTGCACTCTGCCATTCTCTGCCTTTTAATTAGTATATTTAGACTGTATACTTTTAAGGTGACTATTATGTTAGGTCTAAAGCCTGACATTTTATTATTTTCTGTTTTCTGTCTTTCTTGTTCTTCTGCTTCTCTTTTCCTTCCTTTCTATGGGTTACTTGAACATTCTTTAGGATTCCATCTTGATTTATATTTATAGTGATTTTGAAGCGTTGCTTTATATAGTCGCTCAGTGGTCGCTTTGAGTGTTACAGTATATTTGACTCACATGGTATCTATTTCTTACTGCTGAGTGAAGTGTGGAAATCTTTTCCCCATGGAGGCCCCTTTACCACTCCTCCTTTTAAATGCCCTTGTTTTGGGTATCAGATAGTCTCAGGACTTTTATTTCAGTTATTGCACACAATTTAGAAAACTCATGAAGGGAAGGATCATCTCCTGTACTTAACACATCTCTGCTCTCCCTCCCTTCCTTCCTGGTGCTCTAAGATTTCCGTTCTGTTTGAAGAAATTCCTCTAGCTGGTCTTTAAGAGTAAGTCTGCTAGTGACAGATTCTTTTAGTTTTCCTTTGTCTCAGATATATGATAGCTTTTGAAGCAGTTATCTTCATTTATTAACTTTTCAGTTTGAAAAATTTGAAATATAAAATGAAGCCTTTATGTAGCGATCTCAGCCTCGTCAGGTACCAGTCGGTTGCCATTCTTGTTTCTCCCAATAGGGATTTCCATTTTTTTGTTTGTTTAATAAAAGAAAAGCGCTCTCGTGTACCTGGCAGGTGCTAATGCGTGTGACTAAATTGACTTTCAAAATCTCTCAACGAGAACCTATGAGCTAGATGCTAGTAGTGTATCCCATTTTACAGATGAGGAAATGGAGGCTTAGAAAAGTTAATAACTTGCCTCAGGTCACACTTTGTGTTTATTTATGTTTCACTAGAACTGTCTCCTGTATCTCAGAGAGAGCCCAAGTGTGTTCTGACAGGAGCTGTAGCAGATTTGAGGGAGCTTTGTGTTTATGATAAGAAGCCCCTTTCATTGACTTTCCTCCCTCTTCCTGAGGGTACACGTTACACATTGCTGCTTTTGTGGCTCCCCCAGACAGCACATGTTTTGTGTTGGTGGCAGACACGTGTGTCGTCACCAGCAGTGAAAAAAGCTGAGTTATTTTGCTGATGGCGTTTTCCACGTCAGCTTCTGTTCCTTGCCCTTTTAGCTGTCCATCAACGTCTACGACTACAACTGCCACGTGGACCTGATCCGGCTGCTCCGGCTGGAGGGGGAGCTTGCCAAGGTGCGGACGGCCCGCCAGAAGATGAGTGAGATCTTCCCCCTGACCGAAGGTAACGCCCCGCGCGCGCGGCTGTCACGTATACAGAATCGAGGGGAGTACGTTTTGTTCAGTGCTGAGAGTGGGGCGCGCTCCTTCTAGAAAATGTGGAGCATATGAGTCTAGTGGAAGGAAGAAAATCCATCACCCAGAGTCAGCGATTCTTAGCTTATCGTCTCGCAGTTTTTGGCAAAACATAGTTGCGATTGTGCAGTACTCTGAGCCCTGATGTCTTTAACCCAGCCTTTTATGATAAAGTGTCCCTGTGTGATTAAACTCCCCCCGTTCCCTTTCTGTTTCCCATTCTGGTACTTATGTATTTAATCCATTCTCTCAGAAACAGATCATTGTAAATGTGTTATCGCTAAACTTTGATAGACAGCTTTTAAGTGTTTCCTACCTTATTTGTTCCACAGTAGTTGGACATTGAGGTTACGCCTACTTACTTGCTTATTTGAAACATAGTTACACTGGGCATCTTTGTGGCTGACTCTCCGTGAATGTCCCTGATTGATCTTCTGGGAACAGGTTGGGAAGCACAGGTCCTAGGTTCAGCTCTGGCCCTGCTCCTTCCCATGAGGACTCCGGAATGTAACTCTGAATGTAGAAGTGGAAATCTGATTGCCTCGCTCTATGTCTTTCTAGCTGTGTGATAGAAAGCAAATTATATAAACATGCTAAGGCTCAGTTTTCCTAGCAGTAAAGTGGGGCTAACAGTAGTTTCTGCCTCGTAGCACATGGGTTGAACGAGGCTTCCTGTCTGCAACACTTACCACGCACTTGGCATGTTGTAAATTCTTTGATTGATGCCACTGTTACTGATGTTATGTCACCCACCTCGCAGGATCTTGACAAAGACTGAAGGAGAAAATATATCTAAAAGTACTTTGCAAAATAGAAGATGCCCAGCAAGTGTAGACTTATGACTTTAGAGATTTGATCTTACTTGGAAGCATAAACCTCCTGTGTGCTGGGTGTGGGTTTTAGGGATGGGATTCCCGTGGACTGTGCCCGGCTGTGTAAGTGGATGGAGCGTCTGCGTGAGGAGGCCTCCCAGTCCGCCCTCCGGCACGGGGCGCTCACGCCGGGGCCCGTTGTCTTGCAGAGCTCTGGCTGGAGTGGCTGCAGGACGAGGTCAGCATGGCCCTGGACGGCCTGGACAGGGAGCGCGTGTACGACCTCTTCGAGCGAGCGGTGCAGGACTACATCTGTGAGTCCCCATGGGCTTCTCTGGGGGAGTCTGGGGGCGTCACTGGGCCACCCTTCTCTGCTGTCGTGGGCATCTCTGTGTTGTGAGATGTTGCCACCCAGAAAAGAGCCTCCGTCCAGCAGTGAGAAAGATGTGGGCTTGGTTCTTATTATCCCTGTCTGTGGTTTTCAGTTGAGGGTATTTGGTTTTAAAATACAAGGAGAAGACACACTTGGAGGAAGTGGGTAAGTATAGCCGCCCCTGGCATTTATCTGGCCCGGAACGCTTACATGGTATTTCCAGGTGGCTAAGGGTTCCCTTTTACACACTGAGTGGATTTTTAGAAGTTATGGACAGAATTTTTCCCCCCAGTGTTAAAAAACTTAAAACTTTATAGTTTGAAATAATTGTAGATTTATAGGTACCTGCAGACATAGTAGAGAAGTCCTGTATATTTACTTCATTCAGTTTCCTCCAGTATCTTACAACTATAGTACAAAACCAGCACCAGGAAGTGGACCCTGGTGCCGTGCGTGTGCAGTTCTGTGATGTTTTATCCTACTGCTGCATCAAGGCGCGGAGTCTGCATCACCACGGAGATCCCCTTGTCCGCTGGCCTTGGTATTTGACCAGGGCGAGTGAAGTGTGGACGACTTACTCCGTTAAATCCCGTCACCCTCTCCTGTTGATGGTATAAGTCTCTAAATAGTTTCTCCACATTACATTGCAGACTACCTCAGACAGTGCTGTGGGTGAAATGTTTTTAAGAATATTAAAAAAATTTCCCTCCTTTAAGTCTCCTTCCCTGTCTGACTTTCCTCACTCCTGCTGTGGGCATGTCCCTTGGGAGAAGCAGCGACAGGGTCTCTGACAGAGTTCTGAGTGCTGTTCCCGGGTTTCTGACGATCCCGTTACCCTTCCTGATGTCACAGAGCCATCGTTAACAGCACCAGTTCTCTGTGTCCAAGGACCTTTTGTGCCTCCCCGGACAGTGATGTTTCTCCATCCTTAATGGTCCTGCAGTCACCTCTGCCAATCAGGCCTCCGCTGTCACTTAGTGTTACTGTCAGTGTCCCATCACCTTCCCCCAGGGCCTCGGGGCTGCTTGGGCCGGGAAGCCAGATAACCCCGCCTCTTAGATCGTGTCTCATAAGTAGTCGGGGATGGGGGCCTGAGGGGTGGTGGTGTTACTGTCGGAACTTTAGTGTATGGGAGTGGTGTCACTTGTTTTGCTTGCTTCTGTCTTTAACTATGTTCTGCACGCGTGAAGATGCCAAGTATAGACCTCCTTTATTCCTCAGCATGCACTCAGTGATTTCAGGCCACCTGGGGGGCGAAAAGTATACCATTGATAAGTTCTGGCTGCGGCCCTTTGGATCTTTAAAGATTTCGAAAGTCAGGTTACTTGGTCTCTGGGGCAGCCTCGTGCAGGGGCTTCGTGCCAGTTTTGGAACCTGGGACCTGGTGACACATTCTGTTGTTTACCTCTCATAGTCATTGTGGACTCTGCACCCTTGCGTTTTCTGAATTATAAAACTGTTCATAATATTTGCCCCTCTGTAGATAATTTAAATATTGGGAGGAGCCATGATGTAACCTGTCAGGAGGAGCTGTTTCACAGACCCTCCGTGAACTTGGCTAACCCTCACCAAGGGCTTCAAGCTAGTTCATTTCCATTTTTATTTTGCAGCCCATACGGCAGTTGTTAGACTGCTGAGCGAAAACAAAGTAGCTAACTTTAGCTTCGTTCTTTGAAAGAGACTTATTTCATTGGAAAACAAGCCTCAGGAAGACAATAATTCTCACGTTGGTTTTGTCTTTTTAGTATTTTTATTTGAGCAAGGTTAGTGTATGGGCATCTGAAATTATTTTCAGGTCTCTGAAAAGTGACTTAGGCAAAGTATGTACAGTAAGCATAATCGACGCATTCACAGAGAGTTTAGTTCACTAGTCTGATCTAAAGCCGCGGGAGTGAGTATGTAAAAAGTTTGAAAAGAAAGTGAAAGAAACAAGGCAACCAGGTCTTTGTTGTTGTTGAAGTTTTAAAATACAGCTTTCTAGTAACAGGATTGGTGCTTTAAATTTTGTTGTTTCATTTTGGCCAGGAGACTTAGAAATGAATCAAGATTCAAAAGTTGAAAAATTCTAGGCTTTAAAATCTTTCTGGAGGTTGACTCAGATTCATAACTAGTTTCATTGAACTCCGTCACTGATTTCCTTCAATTTTAATAAATAAGCTTTGTAATCACAGCCATATTACATACTACCGCCTGGCACGTACTGTCTGTGCAGTCACATCTCACCGATGATCCCTGGTAGGGATGCGGGTTAAGACAGACGTTCTCTCCAGGCTGCGGTGTGGGTGCAGGTAAACTGGGCTGCTCGTTGGTCGTGCTTTTCCCTTTCTGCACAAATGAGTGTTTTCTCGATGGGCTTGTTTCTTTTGTTATGCATCAGAAGTTTTGCTGTTGGGGTGTCTCATACCCTGAACTAATAGAACACCTCTCATTTAAGGTCCTAACATTTGGCTGGAGTACGGCCAGTACTCAGTCGGCGGGATCGGTCAGAAAGGCGGCCTTGAGAAAGTCCGCTCCGTGTTTGAAAGGGCTCTCTCGTCCGTCGGGTTGCACATGACCAAAGGGCTCGCCATCTGGGAGGCTTACCGGGAGTTCGAAAGCGCCATCGTGGAAGCCGCCCGGGTGAGTGCCCGTCTCTGTGGCCCGTGCTCGCCTTTGTCTGGTCGGGGCTGTCTGTAAGTGGCCTCGGAAGAACGTGGTCAACCAAGAGGTCTTTGCCGGTCCCTTCGTGGGTGGGC